AGACTTAGACTCCATGAGACAGAAAATTAATAAGGATATCCAGGACTCAAACTCAGATCTGGAACAAGTAAACTAAACAATAAATATTTATAGAGATCTCCACTTTAAATACACAAAATATACATTTTTGTCAATACCACATCACACCTACTCATAGGTCTAAATGAAATATTGATTGGCCATTATTAATACCCATTTTTTAGAATAAAGCAACATTTCTGTTCTCTCTCCCTCTTTTTCTTCCTCTTTCTTCCTCTCCTTCACTCCTCTTTTTTTCTTTCCTTAAAAAAAAAAAAAAAGAATAAAACTGGCACTGTCATTATTGCCATACACAAAAATCAAATCAAAATGGATTAAATAACTAAATATAGGACCTGAAATTATAATATTGCTAGAAAAGAAACATAGGAGAAAATCTTGATGACATTCATCTAGGCAATGACTTGATGAATTTGACATCCAAAGCACTGCAAAGAAAACAAAAATAAGCAAGTGGCACTACATCAACTAAAAAGCTTCAGCACAGCAAAGAAAGCAGTAAAATGACAATCTTTGAAATCAGAAAACATACTCGCTAGCTATATATCTGAGAATGAGTTAGTCTTCAAAATTGGTAAGAAACTTCTACAACTCAATAGCAGAAAAACCAACTCAATTTAAAAAATAGGCAGAATAGTTTAATAGACATTTATCCAAAGAAGATCTACAAATGGCCAACAGCTATGAGAACAAATGCTCAACATGACTAGTCATCAGGAAAATGCAAATCAAAATCACAATCCGGTATTACCTCACACCTGTCAGAATGACTGTTATTAAGAAAAAAAAAAACAGCAACCAATGTTGGCAAGAATATGGAGAAATTGGAACCCTTGCACACTGTTGGTGGAAATGAGGAATCGTGTAGTGGCTATGGAATACAGCATGGAGGCTCCTCAAAAAGTTAAAATATAACTACCCTGTGATTCAGCAGTCTCCCTTCTGGGTATTTATCCAAAAGAATTGAAGTCAGGATCTCAAAGGGATAATAGAGATAAAAGCGTTCCTATTTTCACTGCAGCACTGTTCACAATAGCCAAGCTGTGGAAACAACCTAAATGTTTATTGACAGATGAAAACAAAATGAGATGCATAAATAGCATGAAATATTATTTTATTTTTTAAAAGAAAGAAATTCTGCAATATGTGACAACATGAACAAACCTTAAGGATATTAGCTAAAGGAAATAAGCCAGTCACAGAAAGACAAAGACTGCATTATCTCACTCATATGTGACATCTAAAGAAGTTGGTCTCATAGACATGAGTTTAAAATGGTGGTTACCACTTACATGAGTGGAATCATATAATAATCAAATTCATAGAATAAGAGTGGGATGGATGTTACCAGGAACAGGGGCAGGAGTAAATAAGAAATTATTTATCAACATTCATAAAGTTTCAATTGAGCAAGATGAATAAGCTCTAGAGACCTACTAGACAACATTGTAGCTATAGTCAACAATAATGCATTGTGCACCTAAAAATTTGTTAAGAGGGTAGATTTCGTGTTGAGTGTTTTTAATTATAATACGATAATTTTTTAAATTGTGTAGACTTTTAGTGGTAAAGGAGTTAGCTCTCTTGTGTAAAAAGATGAAGAGATAGTTCCCCTTACTGATAAGCCTCCAGTTAGGTAAGAAGAATTTGGTCTCACGTATAAATTCTCCTTGCTCCCAACTAGCTATAGAGAGACAAAAATACGATGTTATATTCAGAAAGAGAATACCAACCCTGGACACACCATAATCCTTGCCCAAGAGCCCTCACTCCTACTTTGATTGGACAAAATAATAGCTCTAGTTTACACTGGAGGATGTAATGGGTAAGATTTAGTTAGGATATGAGGATTGCTGTCCTAAATGATGGTGAATTAATTTTAATAGCCAAAAATTATCAGAAAGCTATGGAATCTGCATTCAACTCTTCTACAGGACAAGAAAATAACAAATAATGTTCTGTTTATACCTTCAATAAATTAAAATTATTTGGTAAACTAGTTAAAATTATAAAAAGAAAACTGTTTTACATTAGTTTTAGTTAGGGTCTCAAAATTGGAATGAAAAACACAACAGAGGTAATGAGACAAAGAAGGAAGGAAACTTCAAAAGTGCATACATGCCTCCTCTTGACTAGACCTTTCCAACATGAATTCATTACTCTGTTTAAAGTAAACATTCAAAATATCAAATATATCCATAGTTATGCTAACAGAAAGAAAAATATATATTCCAAAACTAAAATATTTCCACATAAGTCATTACTTTTTAATTTTAAAGCTCTATTAACATACGTAATTCAGAACTGATGTAAGTCTTTAAAACCAAGCTAGTTAGGGTTAACTGATTAGCACACAAAACATCTGGGTGTCTGGTTTACATTTTTCTAAGAAAACTGTGGAGTTTCTCTCTCTCTCTCTCTCTCTCTCTCTCTCTCTCTCTCTCTCTCTCTCACACACACACACACACCTCTGCAGACTATTAATTAAACTTCGTATAACTGGGAATTGAGAAGATTTTTAAAATGACAAACTTGGAAGTAAATGATTATTCCTAAATTTATATGCAGATCATTAAACTGATGAAAATTATCACAAAAATTTATAATGTTTTCCTTCATTTTAGTTATAAATGACCACACTAAAATTTAAAAATATTGATCATTACAAAATAAATTGAATGATTCTAAGATTTTTATAATCTCAAAATTAAAACAAGGGATTCTGCTAGAGCCTATCTAGTGGCTTCAGTATTGTGACAATTGTTTGTAGCCCTTTAATAAATTGGAAATCATTTCAAAGGGATTTGGGATCCAGCCAAGATGAAACATACTGAGCAACTATAAAATCACTATCAAGGTTGATACTATTGCAAGGAAAATCAAAAAGAAAAAACAAATCAGGATATGTAATCCTGAATAAATAAACCAGAGAAGAACAACTCCTTTGCCAATTACCTACTAAATAACAATGATTCAGCCCCATACTCTGAAGACTTTTCAAAATTCCACTCTATTACACTTCTTCAAATTGTTTTCTTTCAATTTCTGCCCCAAAGTTTAGCTGCTCCAGCGAACACACAAAAGATCCACAACTATTTAACAAGAAAAATTTTGTTTCTCCTCTCAAATCAGTGGGCCATCTAAAGACGGGGTAGTTTCTTACTCTTCTTTTGTTTTGTATTTTACATAACATAGTCACAAGCCAATGTTTCTGTAATTTGTTCCTTAAAATGAAGCTGCCAAAAAATGTTTCTCTAATTTGTTCCTTCAAATGAATCTGGCAAAAGTGCCACGTAACTATTGTTTGCACAGAGATACTTTCCAACCTGGGTATTTAATGACCATGACAGGCTCCATGTACCCAAATTTTTGTTCCTCCAAGATATACTGAACTTCTTCAAAAGGAAACAAAAGTGCTGAAGGTGAATTTTATTTTTAATTGTATTCTACCACAGGAAAAAAAGGACACTTTGTGTCCACATCAGAGCTGCCCTTCAAAATAGTGACACACCAGTACTTCTCTAGAAGTGTTAGCACATTGTCACTAAAATTGGAATGAGACCACGTGGAGAACTCAGGGAGGAAGCTTTCTGTAGGATCTGTTCATCAATTTTGCCGCGACAATAAAAGGGGCCAAGTGGTTTCTCCCAGCAATGTGTGGTAAAGTGTGTCTTCTCCCATATCCAGACAGCAATATAAATTATCTAAAAATGCAGTCTCATCCACGTAGAAAGGAAATCTATTATCAGCTACAAGTTGTTAGGACTCTAAGCTGAATACAGAAAGGCAAATTACAAGCACGCAAGTTAATCCTAGGTCTGCCAGTTTTTCAGATCTAAACAATATAATTCTTAGACATTATCCTTCTTACTCCAGTCCTTAAAAATGCTTAGAGTTATCAACCATGGCTTGAAGAACAACGTATCCCTGTAATATATAATTTCCTTTCTCCATAGTCACCTGAATTGTGAGCCTATTGTTTATCCACTTGGATTTCATGACCAGAACATTCTGATTTTCAATGTAACTTTTCCCTGTCTCCAGATTACATCAAGTTTTCTGATTTCCTTGGTTCCCAAACTAACTCAATATTTTCTTTTGTTGTCTATTGCCTTTTTCTTTTCCCTAGCTAGTTCCTTCTCAACTTGTTTATTTCCCACCAATACTTTACCCTATGCCCACTCTCTATATTACATATTCATATTTTCTGGCCTTCAGTAATTTCATATGTAATTTAGGTTCACCTGTACTTCCCCACTGGGAGATGGTATAGAATTGTGTTGTATGAAAAATCCTTGCATCAGTGGGCATGAAGTCCTAGACATCTGTCAGGTAGGATACATCTTAAATTATAACTTTAGGGCTCAAAGCCTTAAGCCACTCCAGCTGCAATAGCCTACTTCATTGTATGAATATAAAATAAACTAGAAATCAGAAATTCAAAATATCTCCTGAACTCCTAGGCAGCAATCCGCCCACTAACAAGGACTAGAAGTCTCTAAAGAGGTTTTTATAAGTTGTTAACAATGAATAATTTAGCACTACTCCTACTACCCATTTATTGGAAGGTTGAAGAGCTCTTGAAAAATATCTTCCCTTACCTGTATACCACTGACACTAAAGTATAAAGCTATTAAAAATTTCAGGAGCATTGTCTGACACTCCCCCCACTAACCCTGTCCATAAGAATTACCATGACACTTCCGCTGGCTACTCCAGCTTAGGAAAGCCAGATATGAGGAGGAGCAAAACCACAATCGAAGACTCTCTCTGAAAACAGGTGTTTAGTTGATTCACATATTCATTCATAAATACCCCAAAAAGCTGAAATTCCCAAACTTTGGCTTTTCAGAACATACGATGAGAATGTCAGCAGAATGAGTTGTGATTATATTCAAATATCATTTCTGTGATGTTTGTCACTTTTTTTTTCTAAATCAAATTATCTGAATAACCAACAGGCAACTACCATCTTCACAAATGAGGCAACATTATATGAGGCTACTTTCAAACCACACTGACACAGCTGGTCTAGGATGGGGACCTGTTTCATGACTTGCTGTTCATCATTCCAGAGCCCTTCTCCAGCAAAGTGTAAGTATACAAGAGAGAATAAAGTCATTAGAGACCATGTAATTATACAAAATGGAAAGGAAATCATTACTAACAAACACAAGAATTTTTTAATAAATGCCATACATGTAAAGAAGTCCATAGGTTGATAGGTAAAAATAAGTCATAACTTCACAAACTGAAAATACTGCAAGACAGCTTCAATTACAATCCATTTTCCCAAATGGAATCCTATGGAGATACAGCACACAGATATAGCAAGTAATTTTGATTTTGTGAGATTCAAATGAGATTAAATACTCCACTGAAAATAAAGAGTCTAACTACAGAGCCATTGATGATCTATATATCAACCAAGGACAAGGATGGGAGACAATCCCACTTAACTGGTATTTACCCCTGGACAAGACACCGGAGGGCTCTTCTTTAAGAAAATGAACAAAATTCTGGAATAGTATGCATGCTGGCCCTTCCCATAATAAGAACAAATATCCTCTTTGCCTGCCAATAGGTATTTCCCACTCTCCTTTGATCTGCATAGAGTCTGAGTTCCTCACGTGACCTCCCCTACAGATCAGAAGTCCAGGGCAAAAATAGTAAATAGTCATTTCTTTTTATAGCAGCAGAGGAAAACATTTCCAACTATCCAGGAATGTCTTTTTTTTTTGGAGACAGAGTCTTGCCCTGTCACCCAGGCTGGAGTGCAATGGTGTGATCTCAGCTCATTGCAACCTCTGCCTCCCAGGTTCAAGTGATTCTCTTGCCTCAGCCTCCCAAGTAGCTGGAATTACAGGTATGCACCACCATGCCCGGCTGATTTTGTATTTTTAATAGAGACAGGGTTTCTCCACGTTGGTCAGCCTGGTCTCGAACTCCCGACCTCAGGTGATCCATTGGCTTCGGCCTCCCAAAGTTTTGGGATTACAGGTGTGAGCTACTGTGCCAGCCCCAGGAATGTCTTAAATCATGTATCACCACACAGAAGGAGAGGCCAGAAGATAAACTGAAATTCTCTGGTCTTGGAAGAAACTGAAGTATTCCAAAGAATGAAAAGAAACTTTCAAAAATTATAAGTAATATAGAGATTAAAGAGGAAAATACAGCCATACATACAAACATAGAGGATAAAAAATGTTACTATCAGAGATTAATCATATAACTGCTGAAATAAAAGGCTGAGAAGAAAAATAAAACATGTATAATCCATAAAGCAAAAACATAAATACAAGAGACAGTGTTAGCAAGATCAAGGTTCATCCCACAGTATATATTTAGTTAACAGAATTCCAAAAAATAAAGACCAGAGAAAGATTTTTTATGGAACAGTATCTATAAAATAATACAAAGAAATATTCCAATGCCGAAAGACATCAATGTTCACATGACAGCACCCACTGGCTGCTCTGTACAGGGAATGCTGGAGGATGCCAACTCACCCCTAGCTTCTTACAAAGGTCTTTGATTTCTTATTGACAGTACTAGATACTAAAAATAACAAAGTAATACCTTTAAAGTTCTGATGAAAATTTTTCTATTATTGTTTCCAAATCCAACAAAATTATCAATTTAAATGGAAGCCAGAATAAAGCTATTTGTAAGACATTTTCTGAGATCGTTTCCTTCCCTTGTACGCTACGCTGGGGATTTATTTTAGGATGCACTCCAAACATGCAGAATGAAACTAAGAAGTAGGAAAACTTGGAATCCGTGAAGTGATATTCCATCCCAGAAGGGAAGAGAAAGGAATTCACAAGAGGGCAGTTGTGTGGCAAAGAAGCAACCAGCAAAGCTGGAAACAGGGAGACACAGAGGTACAAAAGGGACATCCCTAAGAGGGCTGAATGAAGACCCATAAAGATAATGAAGACAGAGAAAGAGAGAGAATGCATAACCACAAATGGCGCAAGAAAAACTAAAAGACTGATGATTGGAAACAATATTAAAATTGTTTAAATCTAAATATAAAACAAGTAAAAATGCATTAGAACCTTAAGGAATAGATTGAATATAAGAGAAGAGAATACAGGTGTCCTTGATGCCAGCAACATCCTCCTGTAAATGGCATCAGGTTTATGGAGCCAGATCTTTTGAAGTGGGAAATGGAGTCTTAGACTGTAAACAATGTTTACATAGTCCTAATAATGTAAATGTTTGTTTTCTCCTTTTAGAGTCAACCCAGGAACAAAGAAAAAGAAAACTTTATTATTCTTACAGGATAGAATGTCAGTACTGACAATGAGATAATGTGAAAATGCAGCTTAAAACAAACAAAAAAAATAGGTTGTATACATAAGAAGAATCAGCAGAGCAAAGTATATATATTTTAATATTTCTTAAATGAAACAGGGAGTCAAGATATATGTCAAAAAGCTGTAACCAAAAATAGAGGACTAAGTATACTTTTCTGGGGTCACAAAATTTACTAGAAGAAAAATCAGAATCTCAATATATAAAGCAAGCCTTGGGGGAGGGAAGAGAATATGAAAGATAGCAAAAGTGAACAAATCTTTACCTTTCTTTATTTTTATTTCACTTTTGTTTTTATTTATTTATTTATTTATTTGAGACAGAGTCTCACTCTATCGCACAGTCTAGAATTCAGTGGCATGATCTCGGTTCACTGCAACATCTACCTCCCAGATTCAAGTGATTCTCCTTCCTTAGTCTCTCAAGTAGCTGAGACTACAGGCAGTGTGCTACCATGCATGGCCAATTTTTTTATTTTTATTTTTATTTTTTTTATTGCATTTTAGGTTTTGGGGTACACGTGCAGAACATGCAAGAGAGTTGAATAGGTACACACATGGCAGTGTGTTTTGCTTCCTTTCTCCCCTTCACCCACATTTGGCATTTCTCCCCAGGCTATCCCTCCCCAGCTCCCCCTCCCGCTGGCCCTCCCCCTTTACCCCCAATAGACCCCAGTGTTTAGTACGCCCCTCCCTGTGTCCATGTGTTCCCATTTTTCATCACCCGCCTATGAGTGAGAATATGTGGTATTTCATTTTCTCTTCTTGTGTCAGTTTGCTGAGAATGATGTTCTCCAGATTCATCCATGTCCCTAGAAACGACACAAACTCATCATTTTTGATTGCTGCATAATATTCCACGGTGTATATGTGCCACATTTTCCCAATCCAGTCTATCATCAATGGGCATTTGGGTTGATTCCAGGTATTTGCTATTGTAAACAGTGCTGCTATGAACATTCATGTGCGTGTGTCCTTATAGTAGAATGATTTATAGTCCTTTGGATATATACCCAGTAATGGGATTGCTGGGACAAGTGGAATTTCTATTTCTAAGGCCTTGAGGAATCGCCACACTGTCTTCCACAATGGTTGGACTAATTTACACTCCCACCAACAGTGTAAAAGTGTTCCTTTTTCTCCACATCCTCTCCAGCATCTGTTGTCTCCAGATTTTTTAATGATCGTCATTCTAACTGGCGTGAGATGGTATCTCAATGTGGTTTTGATTTGCATCTCTCTGATGACCAGTGACGATGAGCATTTTTTCATATGATTGTTGGCCTCATATATGTCTTCTTTTGTAAAGTATCTGTTCATATCCTTTGCCCACTTTTGAATGGGCTTGTTTGTTTTTTTCCTGTAAATCTGTTTGAGTTCTTTGTAAATTCGGGATATCAGCCCTTTGTCAGATGGGTAAACTGCAAACATTTTTTCCCATGCTGTTGGTTGCCGATTCACACTAGAGACTGTTTCTTTTGCTGTGCAGAAGCTGCGGAGTTTCATTAGGTCCCATTTGTCTATTTTGGCTTTTGTTGCCAATGCTTTTGGTGTTTTGTTCATGAAGTCCTTGCCTACTCCTATGTCCTGGATGGTTTTGCCTAGATTTCCTTCTAAAGTTTTTAACGTGCCAGGTCTTATGTGTAAGTCTTTAATCCATCTGGAGTTAATTTTAGTGTAAGGTGTCAGGAAGGGGTCCAGTTTCTGCTTTCTGCACATGGCTAGCCAGTTTTCCCAACACCATTTGTTAAACAGGGAATCCTTTCCCCATTGCTTGTTTTTGTCAGGTTTATCAAAGATTGTATGGTTGTAGATATGTTGTGTGCCTCCGATGCCTCTTTTTTGTTCCATTGGTCTATGTTTCTGTTTTGGTACTAGTACCATGCGGTTTTGATTACTGTAGCCTTGTAGTATAGTTTGAAATCCGGTAGTGTGATGCCCCCCGCTGTGTTCTTTTTGCTTAGAATTGACTCGGCTATGCAGGCTCTCTTTTGGTTCCATATGAAGTTCATGGTGGTTTTTTCCAGTTCTGTGAAGAAAGTCAATGGTACCTTGATGAAAATAGCATTGATTCTGTAAATTACTTTGGGCAGTATAGCCATTTTCACGATATTAATTCTTCCTAACCATGAACATGGAATGTTTCTCCATCTGTTTGTGTCCTCTCTGATTTCATTGAGCAGTGGTTTGTAGTTCTCCTTGAAGAGGTCCCTTACGTTCCTTGTGAGTTGTATTCCTAGGTATTTTATTCTTTTTGTAGCAATTGTGAATGGCAGTTCATTCTTGATTTGCCTTTCTTTAAGTCTGTTATTGGTGTAGAGGAATGCTTGTGATTTTTGCACATTGATTTTATATCCTGAGACTTTGCTGAAGTTGCTTATCAGTTTCAGGAGTTTTTGGGCTGAGACAATGGGGTCTTCTAGATATACTATCATGTCGTCTGCAAATAGAGACAAGTTGCCTTCCTCCTTTCCTATTTGAATACCCTTTATTTCTTTTTCTTGCCTGATTGCTCTGGCTAGAACTTCCAGTACTATATTGAATAGGAGTGGTGAAAGAGGGCATCCTTGTCTAGTGCCAGATTTCAAAGGGAATGCTTCCAGTTTTTGCCCATTCAGTATGATATTGGCTGTTGGTTTGTTATAAATAGCTTTTATTACTTTGAGATACGTGCCATCGATACCGAGTTTATTGAGGGTTTTTAGCATAAAGGGCTGTTGAATTTTGTCAAATGCCTTCTCTGCGTCAATTGAGATAATCATGTGGTTTTTGTTT